AATCGGGATTTCGACAATAAAATTTCGAAATTTTCCACGCACCGTCGACAAAATTGCTCATACTCCAAATCAAGTACAGAATGTACTGAAAAGTACTGAAAACGGAGCTAAAAGTAGGGGGGGGGCCTACTTTAGGTTCCTGGGGCAATCTGAGGCAATTCCTTATCGGTCGAATAGAAATCTAAAAGTTGAGGTCTTATCGGCGCGGGTGCGAATGCAATGCCGATTGCTTATCGGTAATCGGTGTTTATGTGCGAACGTCGCGCAGATAAGAAATCCTTATCGGCCCGCGGGTGCGAACGCTGCGCCGAAACTTATCGGTGTCCCGCGCGGTGGTGCGAACGCATCACCTTTCCGATAAGCTTTTTGAAGCTTATCGGAATTTATGTGCGAACGCGTCCCCCGGACTTTACGCGAAAGTTATCGGAAAGTTGGCCTTAAAGTTGGTGGGTGCGAATCGCCCCTTAGTGCCCAGGCCCCACAGCCGGCAAGAGGACTCAGGAGTCAGGACCTGGACCTGGCCGCCGGCCGGCCGAATGGGACCCCGGCCGGTCCCGAGGGCACCCCGCCGGCTGCTCACCTGGCAGAAAGTAAATAACCATAAACTTTGATATTAATAAGGATCTTAGGTACTGAAAGTACTCAACCCCTCGGCTTAACCAACACTATTATCAAACCCTAAGGACAAAATGACCTGCTCCGCACCCGAACCCCTGGCCCTAACTACCAACCTAACCCCACCCGTACTCCGCGTGTACCTTGAGTTCCTTATTACTAGTTCAATCCTATGAAAATTGGGCACTTGCTGGGCTCATGGCCGGAGCCAAATAGGTACCGTACCGGCTATCGAGCCGGCAGAACGGGTCGGGCCGGCGCTGGCAAGCTGGCCGGCCGGGACAAAATAGTCAACGTAGTACCCGTGGGCCGTACGCAAATCGAGCCAGCGAAACTCGGTCGGAGGCTCAACTTAATTGGAGCAACTTTTTTTCTTTTTCCGCAAGCCGCGCAGAAGAAACTCACACCGATTTTCAAATTTGACGTCACGCGGGCAACTTTCCGTGCGATCGAAAATCACCGTACGCGGCTGACGTCAGGCGTAATACGGGTCACAGGACGCCCTCTTTAAACCCTACCGCAAACCCTCACGTATAAACCCTGGGTATGACACCGGCCTCTGGTCAAAATAGAAACCCTAAAGGCTAAAACACAACACGAAGACCTTGCTCCAACTTTCACTGCATTCATCAGGGCTCTTGTTTTCAGGCGCCATTCAGGCGCTATAAGAGACAGAACGATCTAGCTGGAACAAGCTGAGATTAAGCGGCCGCCATGGCGTTCCACGTCTCCCGCCCTTTCACCCTGCAGGCGATCTGCCGTTGCTTTGCTGGCAGTGGCGTCCCCTTCCCTCCTGCAGAGGTGCAAGCAGTTTTTGCCAGGCCCCAGGATATTGTGATATTGTGCGAGACTCCGCCTCCATGGGCCCCCCCGGCAAAGAAATCCGCGCAGAAGTCAATGTGCCGTTGGTCTAGGTGCAACCGCAGCGGCAGCAGTGCGAGCAACAACCGGTACTCCTCTGGACAGTAACGACGCCGGGTTAGGCCTTACTGCGTCCATCTCGACCCGCAGCGCCTTCGAGCCACTCTCGCGCGTACAGGTGGCGCTCCAGTAGTGGCCCACGATTATGCGCCACGGCGCGCTCTTTGAGAAGGAGTCGTACACGGTTATGTCGCGGACCGAAACCGCTAACCGAGATGCATAGTGGTCTCGCTGCGGGACTCAGGAGTCGTGTTGCAAGTCTACGCCGTCGAGGAGAACCTCTAAACATTTTTCATTCGGACGGCCCCCACGTCCGGGGGGGCGAAATCCGCCCAGAATCGCCCCCCTCTTCAACCGCGGACTGTCGCTCGCTTGCGTGCCAGGCTCGACCGAGACCGTTGACCATCCCTCTAACCCGTCTTCGGTCGGCTTAACCGACCGCGTAACCAGCCCGCCGCCAGGCCTGTTCGCACTTCCCCCCCGCCTCTGGTTATCGCCCCCTGCTCTTAACCCGCTAGTCGAACCCGCTCTTGACCCGCTCGATGACCGACTTTCGTGGACCTCTGTTCCGTAATAACCCCAGTCTCGACCTCCGTAGAGTCTCCATCGAACGCTGAGATCGCGCAGCAGCAAACGGCCCACCGGCTTTGGGTAATTCCGGAGGAGGGATCCCCTGCTTTTCGAACCCCCTGGGCCGCGGTTTCGCAGCCACGGCCGGCCGAGATCCTCTTTCGGGGGCCATCCTGAAGGCCTGACCACATAGTCTTCCGACAGGGGGGGCATCTTGCCGTCGAACCAGCTCGCGTTGTGCTCCTTCACGCTGGACTCCCGCATATTCACACTGGGCTTGCTTAGACTAACTTGGCTTCCTAGGTCTAGTGGTCACATGCGGTTTGCTCGCTTCTTCCGAGTACAAATGCTGCATGCGGGGCGTATTTACACCCACTGGGTCGCCAATCCAGATGGGCTGCTTGACTTGGCTCTGGGGAACGGGGTGAAAACTCTCACCCGAGCGAGGCTTTACCGGGGGCGATCGACCGTCGAGCCCCTGGAAAAAGTCCTCGACGTAATCGGGAAGCGCTCCCTCCTCCTTTTCCGTTTCTCGCGTTCCCCCAGGATTGCAATGATTGCTGCCCGTGCAAACTGGGCTCGCCCACTTTCGGGGGCAATCTGGAGGGGGTTGAAATTATTGAGGGAAACTTCGCGACATCGATGTCCCGACCCTTGCGCGGCGCGGACTCGTTTCCGTCGCACTCTGCAGCAAGCCGCTCTTCGAACTTTACATAAAGCTCCGTCGCCGTTCCCGCCCCTTTTGCAGCTTTCGCAGCTGCCGACTTGCTGGGAATCCCATTCCCAGACGTACCCCTTCCGCCAACTTTTGATCCAAATGTGCTGCCAAAAATGCAAAAAATGACGTTTTAAGGCTGTTTCGATGAACGACGGCGGCGGCTCTCCCTTTGACCTGAACCCCTGCATGAAGATAACGTTCAGCAGTATGAAAGCAAAGTTTGACGGTGTCAGGCTCTTTAGAAACGTCACGGTTGCGAGCCTCTTTCGAGTCGTAAGACAAAGTTGCAAATTGGTAACAAGGGACACTTTTCAGCTGTGAGAGTGGTTGGAGATTAGCAGAGTAGAATGAGAATTAAACAGAAACAATCTCTGCTAGAACTTGCCAACGATTGGGACTGCGAGTGTCCACGTCAATCGAATCAGGTGAATGTCAGATAAGTAGTTAACAAAGACTTGCCACCAGAAGTCTGCAAGAAGATAGGCCCCCCTCCGACCTCCTAGTAGTCAATATTATTTCCACCGTGAAACTTACTCTGATGTGCGACTTAACCCGGTTCAGTATTTTCGCTCCCTCAAAAAGATAGGAAACCAAGTCAGGAGAATAAATATGTAGATCTCCCCTCAAGACTCTGAGTCGTTCAAACCCTCCAGCCGCGCCGCCTCTGCCGTCATGAGCCTTCAAACCTTAATACAAAGTGAAACTTGACCAGATTCAGTTTCTCGCTTCCTCAAGAAAAATATATAACAGGTCAGGGGATGACGTATGCGGATTCTCCCTCGAAATCGGAGTTTTTTTGGAATCCCAGCCGCGCCGCCTCTGCGTTTGTAAACCTCCGAAAATTACTCCGGTTTTTATTTTGACCAAGTTCACTTTTTACGCCTTCTCAAGAAAATCAGAAAACAGGCACGAGATTACCTGTGCACATTTCCCTGAAGAATCGAGGTGTCTCGAAAATCTCATGGCCGCGCCGCCTCTGCCGTTGTGAGCCTGAATTATGTTACTCTGTCGCGCGACTTGACGACGTTGTTAACTTAAGAAACATGCTTCGCTCACAAAACAGCTACCTCGGGCAGACTGCAGTGTGTTGTCACGCCACGAGAGCACATGACCGGGGAGGCATGCAGCATGTGTCGGGACCTCAGAATGATATGATTCTAAGACTTTGCACTGCTCTATGACTGCACGCGCTTATTCATGTATGCCATTGCCCGTCGGAATATGAGAATGAGCTGAAGAACACGTTGGAAGACACCACACGGACCACACTTTTCCCACCAGAGTTCTTGCGCCAGAGCACCACACAAAAAGCTCCTCCGTTCACGCTTCCTACACTAGATGTTTGGAAGTTCTTTCTTCCTCATCTTTATGTTCTCTTCGGCTAACCGAATCGATTCTCTACCGACTGTTTTATACAAGACAAAGACTTCGACGGTTCTATATTTGGTCGCCCCTAGTAGCTAGCTATTGCATTTCAGGGCAAGCGACGAAGTCCGAAGCATTCTCATATCTTTCGTCAGAGTCTGTTCCGTAGCTGAACTACGACTCCAAAACGTGTACTGTACAAGGCGAGATCGCCCTTTTGAAACGGACTACTTCTGGACGCTCCGATTCTCCTGCTACACTCTCCGTTTGAGTCTCCCTCTCGACTGTATGTACATTCCCCATGCACTCCGTGCTTTGCTTTCCGGTCTCTAATGCACGACGGAAAATCGCCCTCCGGATTCGGTCAACTTTCTAACCCTCCGACTAAAAGCTAACGGCTCCGATTATCCCCAAACTCTCTCTCGCACATGGCTCCGAATCCGTGCTGGCACGAGGCACTCCCACTCTTCGCTCCCTGGCCCGCCACCTTGAAGCTCCGGCTCTGAAGAAGATGACGCCACAAGCTCGAGTCGGAGCGCTGAAGACGAAGCTTGAAAATCGTACGACAGAAGACAAGCAAGAGAGAAGACTCATCAACGGTTCAAAATTGAAGAAGTTTGTTACAGTCGAACGGCCCAGAAATAAGAGGATATCTGCAAACTTAAGATTCGCAAACGTTTTGGTCTGAGAACTCCAATAAGCTATGACGCGCGAAGACGGGCAGGAAGTTTTTAGGTGGTAGGAAATTTTAGGAAAACAACGTACACTTTTCTTGCCTCCTCAAGAAACTAAAAATTTGTGAGGAGATTACTTGTGCACGGTCCCTCTCAAGAATCGGAGTCGTTTGATAATCTCAGCCGCGCCGCCTCTTCTGACTTTGTGAGACTTCGAAAGTTACTTTCACGCCGGGCTTGGACCAAGGGACGCATCATGGTGAAAGCACGCCCAATGTTGTTGAAAATGGGCACCTGGCAGAGTAAATTGAGATCCCTGTTCAATACTGATTTCTAGTACCGGAAGGAGAGACGCCGATCTAAGAAAGGGAACTTTCTCTAACTTCGCTTCAACCCGGGGTCAGTTTTAGGAGCGGATGTGGGCTTGAAAAGGAACTTTTCAGTCGGAACCGGTCTTGAATTCATTTGTCAGGTCGGGCTCAATCCGGGTCCTGATCTGAAGTGTGATGGAAAGGTGTCTCTTTATTGGTGCGTTGGAAGAGACCTCGCCTTCCAAGAATGCCCGTCTGTCGCGGCGGTGACCCTCTTATCGAGGCCTCCAGCTACCCCTCAAAGCGACCCAGGCAAGCTCAACAATACCTTCTTTTCCGAGTCTAAAGCGAACAGGACGCTAGATAGCGGACTTCGATAGAATAGCTGGATCACCAGCACTGATGAGCGTTCAAGCGGAACATGTTCGACTCGGATAGGCTGGCAAAGTTGCATGAATTGCGTCCTGCCTAGGACAAACAATACAACGATGTCTCAGGTCTTCGAAAGGTCAGGCAGGATCACGATTGAAAAGATCAGACCAAAAGTCGCGACCGTAGAAGTTCAAACAAATTGAGCGTCAGGCAAGCCTTGTATTGAGGAGTTTGATTGAATGAGGCGTAAGCACTTGTTTATGGCCCCAGATCGACATGAGCCTGGCAAGGCACCTCGTGACATCAGTCCAGGCAGCGCATCTGACAAGACACGGAAATACGAGTAACGCTCCTCAGATAGTTACACATTTCTGTGAACAAGGATATTAATCAACCGAATTCAAGGGCGAACATACCAATGGCAACAGAATGGCCAGGCGATTGTGGACGTAGACTGCTCACCTGCTCTTCCTGGGAGACTCCCTCTGCGTCAAGACGCCTGCGCTTATCGTCAAGACGGAAAATGTAGTCGCCGAAGTAATCTTGCAACAAGAACACGTCGTCGGTAGACAGGATCGCCGCTTCCTTGCTCTACAGGAAAAGTAAGAGAACCAAAGTAAGAATTGACCAAAAGTTTACTCCAGATTGATAAGCAGCCCGTATAAGCTGGTTACCCACCGGGTTTAGGGATCGTGCTTTTTCTATCCAAGTCGTGGAAGAAAAGTGAGAAGACACATGCAAATACCTGCTTGATTTCTTCTGCTGCGCTGGCTCCGAAAACGCCAGAGCTGCCTGGAAATAGCCGAGATCAAGGAAGTTTCAATCTCGATCGGCACTAAAGGGCAAGATTACCAGCGAGCAAAGAACTCTCCATTCAATAAGTGCAGACGCAGTCGCCCCAACCCGCAACAAACGAAAGGTAGGCACCCGATGCAGTATGCTTGGCAGTTGGTGTGTAACGACCTGTCCAAGCAGTACTCCTTTAAATGCGGCCACGAAGTCACGTGCTATCAAAACAGATGGAAGGAGAATTCGGACTGCAGCTTAATTGCTGTGTCAAGCCCCCACACCACTCGTGTGCCTGTTGCAAGCGAAGGGTAATGCAACTGTCGGAACGTCATTTCGACCCGTGCAGCTGGGGCAGCTCGACTTTCGCGGCCACGTTCGCGCTGTAGCTCGCGCGTCCAGGTCGCCAGAAACCAGAGAAACACCTCCATCGGCAGTGGCGGTTTTAGACACCCATCCGCTCGCGCACTGAGTACCGAGCGGTCACAGGGCGGTTCTGCAC